CTTGATGTTTAGTTTTTCTCTAATAGTACTTAAGATATTTTGCTAAAATTTTCGTGTTGGGGTTTTTCAAACCAAGCCACCCAACATACTCTTTAAATCTTGGTACCTCTTGTTTCCACTTGAATACATAGTCAACAGGCTTAATGCCTCAAAAATAATATCTTCCTAGTTTTTTAATCGTAGGAAATACAAAGTCTCCCACAATAATATGAACATTCCTCGAACCTAACCTAAAAAGTCCTTAATCTCTTCAATTTCTACTTATAAAATTCTTATCAAGAAATTCTCGTCCTTCCTTTATAATTCTCTTATCACATCTAATAAAAATATCGGCTTCATCTTTAATTCAATCCACAGTGTCATTTTCATAAAACACTAATCGCACATCCATAGCTCTCAAAATTGCAAAAGGTTCCTGAGTAAGTACCTCTGCAACAACCTTGGCCTTTCTTGGAAGATAATAAACGATCATTTCATGATCATTTAAAGGTTTTGTCAATCTTTTCTGCATCAGGTTCAACTCTCTTTTATTTCACAATTACTTTAGGTTTTGTAATTAACACAACTATTACAACATTCATCATACAAATAATGGCGTCAAATCTTTTAAGGCAAACTCAACTACTGCCGAATTTAAATCATAGAAACATATTCAATACCTTAATAACCATCAACCTTAAATTCCACCTTTCAATCTAAAAAAATACTCAACAAATTTACCTGAAAAGACATATAAATTCACGAATTTGGGAAATGGTCAAACAATTATACTTTAATTATTTGAGTATTTATCACATTAGCTATAAAAACTCTCTCTCTCTCTCTCTTTTTATATATATATATATTTCTGACATCATTTTCTTCAAAATCATTAACAAGGTCACCTTGAGAAATGATCTTAACTCTTCAATTGGTAATTCCATCATATTCACCGGGAACATTGCCATTGTAATCTTTATTAATTGTTTCCTACCTATCCACTCATACTTGTACCATCACCCATTAGGGTTTACGACTATCATTTTAATTAAGATTGGTTCTAAAGGAATTCCTCTAGCTCTAACCAAATTTGTACTAATGTATGAATGTATAGAACCAGGGTTAACTAATACAAATACAGGCTCATCAAAAAGATGAAAAATACTTGTTATGATCTTCGGGTCATCCTGATCCTCATTAGTCTTAATATTATAAATTCTGGCGACTCCCCGAGTCTCTTGTCGCTGCATGGATTCAGATTGTCCCCTTGATTTTCCCTTCCCCTGCTTCTATTAAAGACTGAAACATATATTTCAAATTGCGCCGAATGGTCCCCAGATTTCTTTGGACAATTTCGAGCAAAGTGACTAGTCTCACCACATTGGAAGCAAGCTCCACTGAGAAGTTTGCATACTCCCTGGTGCACTCTACCACATGTCTAACATACATTTCTTTCTCCTACTGCTCTACTCGAGCTAGCAGCAATCGACTGGAACTGTTCTATTTTCTGTGAAACTGCAGCAGAATTCTCTCTGTCAGTATATCTAGAACTCGAGCCCTTGCCTCTCTTAACATAATGAGGAGTTGAAGGCGTTCCAACCCTTTTCCCCATTTGCAAACTCTGTTTCACTGCTAATGTCTCCTCTTAAGCTCTCTCGATAGCTTTGGTTCGGTTAATAACTTCTTGCAAGCTAGGAAAACTCAAAGCCATCATCATTTCTTTCAACTTTGGCCTCAACCCCTCAATAAACCAATCGTGTCGGGCCTTATCATTGGGAACCACCTCATTAGCAAAATGACTCAACTTATTATACTCAGCCTCGTAATTATGTACTGCTCGATCACCTTGTTTCAAATTAAGGAACTTTAACAACATTGCCCGTCGGAACTGCTCATCCATATGCTTATTCTTGAATTCTTCCAGGAAGAATTACCAGGTCACTTGCTCCGGTGGTGCATACATCGTAGTATTTGACCACCATACTCGAGCTGATCCCTAAGTAAAGATACAGCTCCACACAACCTTTCCGGATCCGAACAGTGAAAACTTTCGAGCATTATTATAACATCATTTAGCCATAAGTCGGCCTCCATAGGACCTTCACCCTCTTCTCCCTGGAACTCTGGAGCTCCCAAGCTCTTTAGTTATTTTGGGATAAACATTCTCGGGGTTGGAGGAGCATAGGGAGGCGGAGGAGGTTGAAAACGGGTCAATATAGCGTTGAGAGCTTGCATAAAAGCTCCATACTCTAGTACCGGCATCCCTTGATGTGCAGGCACACTAGCATTTTCAGATGAGACCGTCTGCCAACAAATTACATCGGGAGGTCCATCTTGGCCTCCTCATCGTCGATCAGGGGTCGGTTTCGTGAGAATCAACCATGTTTGTCTATAAAAGATTAAAAACCATTCGGCCTTCTTCTCCTCAGTACGCTGTCGGATCGTCCCCATTTTGAAATATGTTGTTCTTCTCACCAATGCGCACATCCTCACCGCTCGGATCGTCGATCGGAGGTCACTGTCTCCGGTAAGGCTTAGGCCGAATGGTAAAGACCCCATCTTTTTCGATTGTTTTCTTTTTTTCTTGCTATATATATATATATATATATATATATATATATTTCGAATAATAAAAAAATGGAAATTTTTTTCTTCTACTGTATTTTTTTTATTGATGATCCTCCTCCTTCCTACATTTGTTTCGGTTAGGTTATATAACTCACTTATCCCAAAATCTGACACGACCCGTTTCAAGCCCAATACCCGGATCCGACCCTTGCCTCTCTTAACATAATGAGGAGTTGACGGCGTTCCAACCCTTTTCCCCATCTGCAAACTCTATTCCGCTACTAATGTCTCCTCTTAAGCTCTCTTGATAGCTTTAGTTCGGTTAATAACTTCTTGCAAGTTAGGAAAACTCAAAGCCATCATCATTTCTTTCAACTTTGGCCTCAACCCCTCAATAAACCAATCATGTCAGGCCTTATCATTGGGAACCACCTCAGTAGAAAAATGACTCAACTTATTATACTCAGCTTCGTAATCATGTACTGCTCGATCACCTTGTTTCAAATTAAGGAACTTTAACAACATTGCCCGTCGGAACTGCTCACCCATATGCTTATTCTTGAATTCTTCCAGGAAGAATTGCCAGGTCACTTGCTCCAGTGGTGCATACATCGTAGTATTTGACCACCATACTCGAGCTGATCCGCTAAGAAAAGATACATCTCCACCCAATCTTTCCGGATCCGAACAGTGAAAACTTTTGAGCATTATGATAACATCATTTAGCCATAAGTCGACCTCTATAGGACTTTTAACCTCTTCTCCCTGAAACTCTGGAGCTCCCAAGCTCTTTAGTTCTTTTGGGATAAACATTCTAAGGGTTGGAGGAGCATAAGGAGGTGAAGGAGGTTGAAAACGGGTCAATATAGCGTTGAGAGCTTGCATAAAAGCTCCATACTCTGGTACCGACATCCCTTGATGTGCAGGCACACTAGCATTTTCAGATGAGACCGTTTGTCAACAAATTACATCGAGAGGTCCATCTTAGCCTCCTTATCGCCGATCAGGGGTCGATTTCGTGAGAATCGACCCCGTTTGTCTAAAAAAGATTAAAAACCATTCGACTTTCTTTTCCTTGATCCGCCGTCGGATCGTCCCCATTTTAAAATATGTTGTTCTTCTCACCAAGGCACACCTCCTCACCGCTCGGATCGTCGATCGGAGGTTACTGTCTCCGGTGAGGCTCAGGCCCAATGGTAAGGACCCCATCTTTTTTCGATTGTTTTCTTTTTTTCTTGCTAAAATATATATATATAGATTTCGAATAATAAAAAAATGGAAATGTTTTTCTTCAACTGTATTTTTTTTATTGATGATCCTCCCCCCTTCCTACATTTGTTTCGGTTAGGTTATATAACCCATTTACATTAAAAAAAAACTGCTGCTGATGGTTGATGCATTTGGTGATGAAATGATGTTGTTGTAGGGTATGGAACTGCTTCACGTGGGAGTCTGCTTGAGTGTTTGGTGAGGTAGAGATGGCCACGACAGAGAAGCAACATGGTGTTGGCAGTGGGCCTGGTCGGGTCGGATCTGGGTATTGGGCTTGACTCGGATCGGGTCGGTTTTGGGATAAAATTGGCGATTACAGAGATAAGTCGTAGCTTTAATATAATTGGGTATCTCTGTTTCCTGTTTAATGCTATATCGGCGATCAACTGATAGTGTTAGGCTTCTCCAATTGCAGTGTTTTCTACTTTTCTATACTTCATTTACTTTACAGAAAGAAAATCAGCGACTTTCATATGCTAATGTACATTAGCAAGTAGTCATTTTAGGTTTAATGTCCTTGATCAGTTTTCTAGCTTATAATTCTAACATCATGAAATCTGCAGATTTTATATTTTATCAAAATGGAATGCTTCTTAGTTCCAGGAATAATCTATTCTTCTCATCAACAATTTTCCTTCAAATTTGCAGGAAAGTTCGGAATAAGAATGTTGTACAGTTTATTGGTGCATGTACCAAGCCGCCAAACTTGTTTATTATAACAGGTACCCTACTGATTCTTAAGTTGTCTTTATTAACTTGATGAAAGTGAAATTATGATTATTGATCTTTCTCACTTGGTTATTCTTTTGTAATTGAAAGAAAATGCTAATGTTAGTTTTCTTTCCGTCTTTTCTCTCTGCAGAATTTAGGTCCGGTGGAAGTGTATATGACTACCTTGACAAACACAAGGGTGTTTTCAAGCTTCCTACCTTGTTTAAAGTTGCAATAGATGTTTCTAAAGGAATGGACTACTTGCACCAAAATAATATAATCCATAGGGATTTGAAGGCTGCCAATCTTCTAATGGATGAAAATGAAGTAAGATGATTAAAGTTGCCAAAGTTTATAAATCGAATTGACTTAAGCTTGTCCCTAGTTGCTTCTTTTCTGAAATCTTCCTTGGGAACAATTCATTGTGGTCAAATTCTAAGACGGGCTTTGCATTACAGCTGGTTAACTCAATCTGGAGTTATGACCGCTGAAACTGGAACATATAGAAGGATGGCTCCTGAGGGGAGGTCTTATTGTAAAAGCTGTTCGAAACTGTTTCATGAATAAATATAACTCTTCTAGAAATATGGTTTGGCTTAATGAAGCTAACTGATCCAGCCAGTTAATTTCCAGTAAAAGTTAATTTGCGACTTGAAGTCATTGATGAACCATGATACAAGTTTTCTTCATTTACTTTTCTAACCCTAGTTTAAAGCTATTCGAAGAATTTAGTTACGTTTTGTTGGTAATTTAAAGTTTCATAATTTTTGTCCTAGATGTGAGACATTTTGAAAAGGCAAATAATATTTTTTAAAGGAACATTCAGAAATCGGTTTATTTGCCTCTCTGTCTTCGTGTTTCTTTATTATGACTAGAAAGGAAAAGAGTCTTGTAACTTGATCAGTTTGCTCTCTTTATTCATTCTTGGTTTTATTTTCCTCTTTAAATAATTGATAATAACACTAATCCATTTGAGTTGAGATTATCATTCTTCCTCTAATTGATTGTTCATCTTGCTTTTGCATTGAAGGTTATTGAACACAAGCCATATGATCACAAGGCTGATGTTTTCAGTTTCGGAATTGTACTATGGGAACTGTTAACTGGAAAGGTATTTTCTCGGTCACTATCTTTTCTTTGATATGTTCGGGATACTTATACTTGAAGATGCCTGCCGGTTTGTTTTGGTTCATTGTCTGGCTCCTGTGGTTACTTGCTTTTGCTTGCATTTTCAGATTCCATACGAGTTCTTAACCCCATTACAAGCTGCTGTTGGAGTGGTTCAAAAGGTATGCCTTTTTTCTGTATCAATAATCTTAAGGTTTGGAATAGGATATTTTCTTCTTCTTCTTCTTCTTCTTCCCTCCCTCAGGAGCCTAAAAGAAAACAGGTTATAGAATTTATCATGACAAATTGATAATGAAAAAGCATCGGAGGGTTATTTTTGTAGTACTAAGACCTTCGTATTCATATTATTCTAGGGTCTACGTCCTACAATTCCAAAGCACACTAACCCGAAGCTCACCGAACTGCTCGAGAGATGCTGGCAACAAGATCCATCACTAAGACCCGATTTTGCTGAAATTATAGAGATTTTACAGCAAATTGCCAAGGAGGTTTGTGAATACAGTTCATGCACTCCCTTCTCATTTCCCTTTCGAAAAGCACAATCTGGAGAGCGAGCTTCCAGTTTGTGAATGCAGATGATGAAATACGAGCAACAATATCAATTTTAACACTGGATGAATCTGTAAAACAGTTAGGAGATGAAGCCGAGGATCGACGTAAATCTTCGGGAGGATTTTTCTCCGTCCTTAGAAGAGGCCACCATTAAAGACATACATAACCCGAACAAAAAGCATTTTTAGCTACGTTAGCCGGGCCTTTCCCGGCATTTGCATCAGCATTGTACAGTATTTTTTTTATTCACCATTGAAGGTCATCTACAACCATGTCAATCCTTCTGCCAGCCACTTCAATCCTGAGGTAAAAAGAAAACGAGGTCGTTTTGTTCCATCAAATGATTATTTGTAAAAAAAGATGAGTTTTGTTCCATCAAATGATTATTTGTAAACAAAATAAATTACGCCAAATACCACTTATCTAAAAGATAAATTACGCCAAATGCCACTTATCTGTAGGTGATGAATGGTTTGTACTATTGAATTTTCAATTGTTTCAGTTATAGTACTAAACTTTGGTTAAACTTTAATTTTGGTTTTAATTATAGCATTGAATTGTTGAATTTTAACGAAACAATGATGTGGTGGATCATCTTTATATCAACATGTCGATATAAACAAAACATCATTTTAACATATCTATTAATATCCAAAATGACATCGTTTAACACTAGACTTTATGGATGTATCAATTTTACCATTAAATTTTAAAAATATTAAGTTTTATCCTTTTAAGCACTATTTTTTTTTTGCTTTTTATTGACAATTAATCATCGTCTGTCACCGGTCGTCATTCGCAACAAGATCGCTATCAAAACATACTCAAAATTAACGAAAATATCTAATTTTGAAGTATGTTGTTCGCCTTCTCAAAATAATGTTTCTTATTGTTTGGATTTTCGAATAAATACTTCAAATTTCTCAAATCCGAGAAAACCCTCAAACTCTTTAAAATAGTAAAAATTTTGTTTAATGTTGTCAATTTTGAATGAATTTCATGAAAAATCGATCCTATGGGAAGGAGGAGGGAAATGAATATGTTTTGATATAGATCTTATCACAAATGATGATCGGTGAAGGACGGCGATTCACTGGATGAAAAGTTTAGCGCATAAAAGTGAACCGTTTAAAAGTTTAGTGCTAAAATCAATAGACCCCTAAAATTCAATGTCGAAAACAATTTCGTTCCAGACCTCAATAGCCATACCAAAATGATGACGTTGTGTTCATGTCATCACATCATTTGAATTTTAAAGTGTAATGTAGGGCTGAGCAACGAAATCGAGAAAACTGAAAAATTGATATGAACCGGACTATGCGGTTCGATTTGGTTCAGATTTTTCAATTTACGATTTGATTTTGATTCAATTTAAAAAAAATAAATATAAATTCGGTTCAATTTCAGGTTTTCTACATGAAAAAACTGTTTGAATTGAATCAAATCAAATTAAAATATAAAAGAAAATAAATATCCAAAAAATTCTTTTTAAATTTATTATAAGATAAATTTAAATAAATGAAATCTTAAAATTAATAATATTTTTTATAAATTTAAATTTATATATTTACACTCAATTTAAGCTTTAGTTTTTTGTAGAGGTAAAGTTTTAAAAATAGTGAATAGTCAAAAACTGTGAAATCGAATCGAACCAAAAATCACGGTTTTATGCCATTCGGTTTTGGTTACAATTTTTAAAAATCCACAAAATACGATTCGATTCATATTTTAATGAAAATCGAAGCAAATCGAATCGAATGCAATCCTCGTTCTTATGTTATAGATAAAAAAAAAAGAACAATGGAAAATTTAATAATATGGACTGTATATCTCCTAAAGCTGAATGGTAGAGTTTACTTAAAAGAATACTATTATTTGAGTGAAGAAAAAAATGGAAAGTAGACATGTTTGATTGGCCAAATGTCTTACCATTTACTCTTATAATTAGCAATAACGGCCTGACCATGTATTTTCTCTGACTCTGTCTCTATCGTCTTCAACGCCACCTTTTACTCTATCTTCATATCCATCCTCCTCTCTTTCTCCGCCGCTTTCCACTGTTGGCATGCCAAATTTATTTTCAAGCACAACCTCAATATCTTAATATTGAAGAATCATCATTGAAAACGAACCATCAATGTCTAAATGAAACCCGAAGGCCTTATCGTCTTCGTCAAACTCGTCTTAGAACGTAAAAGCAAGCAGAATTGGCAGCAATAAATCCAGAACCGAAGAGCTTCCGATTCTATCCGATTTCGATAGCCACGAGGAAGCGTTAATCGCCATGGATGGTGATCCGACTAAATCTTCGGAGCCGGCGGAGTCCAGGACGCCCGGCAACAGAGATTTGAACCAAGATCCGAGTTTTAGGCAATCTGAGGTAGAGTTCTGGAGCGACAGGGGAGAGAGGAACAACGGCGGTAACGGTATATTCGAGTACACGCAAGGGTGGCAAACGGGGGAGGAATCGCCGACGTGGAAGATAATGAACGATCATCTCATGAACAGAAGCAATGAGAATACATTAGAGATGGGATTAGACTTAGACGAACTTAAACGCGACCCGTCCTTATCTCTAGACTCTAGAAGGGTTTCTTTCGAAACCACCGGCGTGAGTCAAACGCATCAACAAGACGGAGGAATAAATGATCAGACCGATTATATGTCGAGACGCATATCGAACGTGTCTGCTCCTCTATTCGGAAAATCGGGTTTGCTATCGGCAATGAAGAGCACCAAGTCAAGGCTTATAGACAGGTCAGAGGATGAGGTACAATTGATGTCCGGTTTGTTAGGAAAATCCGGTCAGCTTCAGTCCGGTATGCTCTGTAAATCGGAAAACGAAGAAGAAGACGACCCTTTTGCGGATGATGTGTTGCCTGATGAATTCAGGAAAACCAATTTTAATGCATTCACTTGGGTTCAAATTGTGAGTCTTTTTGTCATTGTTGCTGCTTTGCTCTGCAGCTTGTTCATCCCTTCATTGAAAGTAATTGACCTATGGGAGCTTGCTCTATGGAAATGGTTAGTGTTCTTGTTGGTTTTGATCTGTGGAAGATTGGTTTCGGGTTGGGGAATCCGAATCCTCGTCTTTTTCATCGAGATGAACTTCTTCTTAAGGAAAAGGATGTTGTATTTCGTATATGGTTTAAGAAAACCGGTCCAGAATTGCTTATGGTTAGCCCTAGTGCTCTTGGCATGGCGTTTCTTGTTCGACAAGGAAGTCGAGAAGGAAAGCGTATTGCTTCAATACGTTACCAAAATCCTCATATGCTTGTTGGTGAGCACGTTCTTGTGGTTACTCAAGACACTGCTAGTAAAAGTACTGGCTTCATCTTTTCATCTTAGTACTTATTTCGATAGGATTCAAGATACATTGTTCAACCAATACGTGATCGCGACGCTCTCCGGTTCTCCGGTAATCGAAGCCCGGAGGATGGAAGAGGAAGACGAAAGAACGGCAGCCGAGATCAGAAGGTTTCAGAATGCTGGTGCAACTGTGCCTTCGGATCTTCGTGACGATGCCTTCCCACAGCAGAATAGCGGGGTGTTGAAGAAAACAATCACCAGGCTCAAAACGTTTTCTCAACGAGATTCGTCGAAGAAAGAGGATGCAGGGATCGCATTAGAACATGTACATAAGCTCAATCAAGAGAACATCTCTGCTTGGAACATGAAGAGATTGATGAAGATGGTCCGACACGGAACATTGACGACATTGGATGAGCAAGTGATGGAGGACGATTCGGTAAAACAGATCAGAAGTGAACACGAAGCAACGGCGGCTGCCAAGAAGATTTTCCACAATGTGGCTTGCCGTGGGTCTAAGTGAGTATTCTTTGTTGATTAGTTTGCAAAATAAAGTTGTTAAGGAACACTCTTGTTGTAACTTGTTTTGGTCTATAGATTTATCTACTTGGAGGATTTGATGCGGTTTATGCGAGAAGACGAAGCTTTGAGAACAATGGCGACCTTCGAAGACGCTTATGAGCATGGCAGAATCAGCAAAAAATCCTTGAAGAATTGGGTGGTAAGACATAGTGGAACATTACATACGAGTATATAATCACCCTACTCATCTTTAAAATACACCAAAACTTTTTTTAACATAATAAAAATAAATCAAAATTGGAGGGGCAAAATTAAAATAAACCAAAATTTAAATGTCTGAATTAGGGGGCAGTGGCCCCCAACATACACATGGCTCCGTCTCTGCTAAGAACTAATGATAACCTAATTACCAGAGATGAATCAAAAGTATTGATCATTTATTACAAGATTGAGTAATTAACATGTAAAGAATGATTAACTTCAGCTATTCATTTCAGTTAAATGCCTACAGAGAACGAAAAGCCCTGGCCTTAACCCTAAACGACACAAAGACGGCGGTAAACAAGCTTCACAAGATCATAGACGTCATCGTCGGGACCATTATACTCGTAATATGGCTTGTCGTTCTGGAAATCGCTTCCTCGGAGCTCATCGTACTCTTCAGTTCCCAGCTGGTCCTCGCAGCCTTCATCTTCGGCAACACCTGCAGAACAATCTTCGAATCCATAATCTTCTTATTCATCATTCACCCTTTTGACGTCGGAGATCGGTGTGAGATCAACGGAGTGCAGGTACAATACCAAACAAAAAATCCCATTAGTTGAATCAATCCCATTATTCGTTATCCTTACCGAAAGTTTTAAACTATCTTACATTTTAGATATTTTCTTTATATCTTTTATTAATAATATATATTAAAACGTTATTTAATATAAAATCTTACATGGATCTTTAGTTTTTGTGTTTATAGCATGTGTTCTAAGCATGTATATGGGTGTTTTTAGCTTGTGGTGGAAGAGATGAACATTTTGACAACCGTTTTCTTGAGATACGACAACATGAAGACGACGTTTCCCAACAGCGTTCTCTCGACGACACCAATAGGCAACTTTTATCGAAGTCCAGACATGCTTGATCTCATTGAGTTCGTGGTCCATGTTGCTACTCCGGTCGAAAAGATTGCTCTCGTCAAGCAAAGAATAATAAAGTACGTGAAAAACTATAGGGTAAACTATGAATTTGGTCACCCACCTATTTTCATGATTCCATTTTAGTCACCCAACTATTTTTTCTTCAAAATCATGCATGAAGTTACGTTTCGGTT